CCCCAAAACCCCAAAACCCCAAAACCCCAAAACCCCTCTATAAATTATAATCATTGAAAAATGAGTGACGAAGAAGACCAAGACCAAGCCAGAGACTTCGAGCCTTATCAGGAAGAAATTGAGAAAGGGATAGACGATGATGATGACGAGGATGAAGAAGTAGAAGTAGAAGAAGCCGACACACAACAAGATATGAATAGAGGTAACCCTCTGGTCGTAACCAAATAGATGAGATCCAGGACCTACAGGAGAAACTTAAGGAATTGGAGGAGAAGATAGCCAGTTTTAAGGAAGATCACACCATGAAAAGTTCTAAGTCCCAGACTCAGAAGAATCTTAATGTGAAGCTTAGCTGTTTTCATAAGATCGAGTTTTGTAAGTCTATTATTTCTTTACTTGATCTCTGTTTTTGGCGTTTGCTGAAACTGATTTAGGTGCCAGTAATAAGCCTATTAATAATGAAGAGATCCGTGGAGACGAAGAAGGGGAGGAAGACAAAGAAGAAGTTAAGAAAGTTAAGAAGGATAAGTCCGCCTCTACTCTTAACGGAAAGGAGGAGAAGGGTCCTCCAGTCTCAGTCCCTTGTATTTCCTTCAATATGTGTGATGAGTTCGAGAACCAGTTCTGCATTATTGACGAGCAAGGTAAAGTGGCCATTCATGAATTTAATAAAAATAAGAAGAAAACTAAGCTCAAAGCTGAGAAATATGTATCGAATGCTATTCTTGAGTGCTGAACTATTGAGCAAAGAGAAGGGAAAATGATCGCTGCTGGAGGAGTTGATACTAAAATTTATGTACAAAGTATAAACCCTGAGGTAAAACGAGGGGAGAAAAGTACGTACATGAAAGACGTGGTCGACCTAGCTGGTCATTCTGGGGGGATCACAGGAATTTCATTCCTTGATCCACAATACCTGGTGTCGTCTAGTGATGATAGTACGATCATGCTCTGGGATTTGGAGAGATCAGATAGGTATTTGGTCAAATACAATGATCATCAAGCTCAGGTTACATGTCTGGATACCTTCAACCTTGATGGGAATATTATCGTCAGTGGATCAACAGACACATTTGTCAGACTTTGGGACATCAGGATGAAGAGTCCATGAATCAGGATTTTTAAGAAGCATGGCAGCTCAGTGAACGCAGTTAAATTCATGTTTGACCAAGGAAACACAGTGGCTGTCGGATGTGAGGATTCCTCTATTCTAATCTATGACTTCAGAGCTTTATCGCCGATAGCTAATCTTTCAGATGATTCTTCATACGAAAGTATTACAAGCTTGACTTTCTCAAGATCCAATAGAATGTTGTTCAGCTCCACAAAGACCACCTCCATCAGAGTTTGGGATGTAATGAAGGAAGACCTAGCTATGGTGATCGATGGAGACCACAAAGATTCCATCAAAAGTCTAGCAACTTCTTGTGACGGAGCAACCATAGCAAGTACATCGAAAGATGGAATTGTACAGTTTTGGGGATAATTGTGTTTGTTCAATAATGAAGTAATTTAAAGGGGTTTTGGGGTTTTGGGGTTTTGGGGTTTTGGGG